AGTTACATCTAGTTTCAGCCAGTGTTAACAGCCTCATCGTTCTTCTCTCTTGTCCCTTGTTTCTGTTCATCTTTCTCACACAACTGAACTGTAACTAGACTTCGACAGATACAGTTTGCTGTGTTCTCCCCCCATTTAGATTCACATCAATCAAAAATAACTGCACTGAAATCCATAGAAGAGCACTGCTGTAATAAAAAAACCCAACAATCCAACCAACCAAAATAAAAAACCCCAAACCAAGCTGGGTTGTACCACATCTTCCTCCACTCCCATAGTCAAAGGGAAACTTTCCCATTACAGCGGGGTAAAAACTGACATACCTGGTGTAGGAGTATTTGTTGTTGCTTCTATTATAAAGCAGCTTAACAACGGGCTATTGGGACAGAAAGAAAAAAGCAGAAAAGGTAAGTTCTGTGTTTGAATACATTTAGCAAAAATTCAGTTTCTCACTGGACAGTTGTGACAAAACAGTTACTTTCATTGATGATTCTATCAGTCTCTCTTCTTCTTTTGGAGATGTGATAATAGGGATACTACAGACAGGTTCATACAAGTCTTTCTTGTCCTGTTTTAAAGAAAAAAGAGAGAGAGGAAATAAACTCAAGAGAGATAAATGCTAAAGCTAACATCTGCTGCTACTGTCTTCTCCAACCCCTCCAGCCATGTTCCCAAGCCCTGTGATGCAAAGGAAAAAGCTCTGTGTTGCTATAGTAACCACACAGCCTTACCTTGATCTGCAACCCAGAAATACAGCAGAGAGATTTCTCATCCCCAGAAGGCAGCAGTAATTGAAATATTGGGATGCAGGTGGATGTCCTTCTTAGCTATGGCAAGGACTCTGAGCTCAAGCCATATTTGGTTTAAGTGGGTTTATTATTCTATCCTTTTTTGAAGAAAAGGATAGTAAGAGTTTGCACTAGTTTTAATCAACTCAAAACACTGCAATATACAAGAATATCAGCCACTACGAACTGAACATTTGGCAAGAACAGCATGTCAAACGGACTTCAGCCCCTTGTGATACACAAGCAACAATCAAGAGCATGTAGTACAGTCTGTCACTCCGGATTCCTCATGTAGCAAATTAAGGAAGGCTCAATGGCTAATAGGAAAGCCTTAGAACATTTTGTTTTTAGAAGAAAGGTTTTAAATTCCAAACCAGAAGGAAAATTGTCAGTGTGGCTCTGCATTTCTTTCAATGGATACAAGAAGTATATTGAAGCTAGTATGCGAGGTATTTATCAATTACTACTTTTTGTCCTGCAAGAAACATTCATTTCACAACCTTAAGACTAATAATAAGTTATATATGCACTGCATCTGGGCTAACCTTATTAAAAAGCTGGCAGAACAAGCTGATTTCAATCAGCTGAAGTCATAGGGACTAATAAAGTGAATAAAGCTACTATGGGCTTACATATTTGCAAAGAGTAGTGGTAAACTGATACAAAGAGAAGTCCTTAAAGTAATCAGTGCTTAAAGTAATCAGTGCTTACCATACAGGTCATCTTTTCCATTAAGATTCAAACTTAGAAAAAAAACTTACCACGTTTTCAAAGACTCAAACCCATTCTGCCTATAAATATGATATAATTAGAAGTGACATAACTTGGGGGAAATTTAGACAAATGCCATAAGGTCTTTTAAAACATATGCTCAAAATAATCATGTTTATTCAATCCGTTTCCTTTAAATTTCTGGCTTTTATTTCATTTCACACAAGAGGAACTCATTCACTATCTATTTCCTAAATAAAATTAAAAAAATAGAAACAGAAAAGAACCAGTCCCTCTATTTAAATGACAAATGGCGAATACAGTTTCTACTTTATTCATCCTCCTG